CGTTTATTTCGAACGAAAATCTATTTTTTGTCGACGATGATCAAAATGAAAGGAATCCACCATGAATGCGTAAAACCTCTATTAAGGTTCTAGGGGCGTCGTCACTAAAATCCCTATTTTATGGTCATCCTCGTGTTTCTAAAATAATCCCAAGGAATCTATCGGGTTCAGGGTTCGTTGACTTCCACTTTAGAGAACCGGTTCCCATCCTAAATTGGGGGACTTGAACTGTCTAAGATGGTTATTTAAATCGTTTTCTTTCCTCCTCTTTCTTTTTTCAAGGGAAAACTTAACCAGTATTTTCAGATTGTTTATCTGAAAATTGAGCTTTTTATTTTGTAATTCGGTAAGAAAAAGATGTTCTTTTTTTTTTATTATTCATGAATTTGAACAAAAGTTGTTTTTTTTTTTTTTCGTAGTGAAATTCAAGTTTTTCAGATTTTTCATTATTTTTATATCTAAGATAATACTGTTTCGTATCCTCTTTTTTTCTTGAAGTTTAAATCCTTCGCTATTCTTTCATATCGAAAATAATATTCCACCATTTCCTTTTTTCTTTAGCCAACTTTACTATCTCGCTTAAAAATTAAGCTTTTCGAATCTCTCATCATCATATTCATCAATCGAAAATAATGCTCCATTCTTTTTTTTTTTCATCATTCCTATTTCTATTTTTTACCATTTTCCTTTCTTTTCTTTTTATTTTTTTTTTGCTCGTCTCTCCCGTTTCATGAACGTGTAATAAAGTCTTACCTCTTCTTCCTTTCTCCTCCTCCTTATCTCCCCTTCGTTTAGATATCTCCGACTTTTTATCTAAAATAATTAGTGCGTGAACACGGCTACATTCCAGATGTGGCTCTAACGCATAGAAGAAAGTTGGTGGTCAGTGATGGATGTGCGCGTTACACGAGAACGAACAAAAAAAAAAAAAAAAAAAAAAAAAAAAAAAAAAAACAAGCGAGGAGAAAACTTCATTTTTGCGGGACCATGGTTACACGATCGTTAAGATAACGATCAGGTTATACGTATTACAAGCTCGTTGAAAAGGAAATCGTACTCGCGTGTCTTTTTCGGAACGTCTTCATTTCCCGATTATCCTTCCTTTTTCTTCTTTCTTCTTCTTTTTTTTTTTTTTTTTTTTTTTTTTTTTACATTCTATCTTGCACATCGTGCGTCGTTTAAAACCTGGAAATTAAATAATATTTTTAAAACTTATCAAAGAAGAAACTATTCGTTACTATTTATCGAAAAATTATCAAGAATCGAGAAATTGTAATTTATTGTAAGTGCGCGCCTGGAGGACGTATGAAGGTCAAGTTTGACTTTTTGTAGAGCAAAAATCTTGTATATTATATCAAACTTATCGAAGAAGAAACTGTCGTTATTAATTATCGAAAAATTATCGAAAGTCGAGAAGTTGTAATTTGTCGTGAGTGCACGCCTGGAGGACGTATGAAGGTCAAGTTTGACTTTTTGTACATTATTTTGGCCGCTTAACATCTTGGAAAATAAAATACTTTTAAAACTTATCAAAGAAGAAACTGTCGTTATTAATTATCGAAAAATTAACGAAAATCGAGAAGTTGTAAGTGCAGGCTTGGAGGGCGTATGAAGGTCAAGTTTGATGTTTTCGATGCAGAGCAAAGATTTTAAATCACGAACCACGTCCAGATTTTAATGTTCCATTGCAAAAGATATTCTCTCTAAATTCGTATTAAAAAAAAAAAAAAAACTTATTAATTCATAACCCACTGTGTGTGTATAAATTAAACGGGACGTAATTCGCAATTAAAAATTAGAATTTTTCTTTAAAGTGATATTTTCCTCGTACAACAATAATAATATCTCAAAGATATTTCTCTTTGTAATAATAAAACGAATGAAAAAAAAAAAAAAAAAAAAAAAAAACACTTCGATTAAATTACCTCGATCAACCTCGAGTCGATTATTCAACTTAATTATTCAAGAAAATATTCCTGTCACTAACTAACATAATAACGCGTGCATACACCACTACACCACGGAAAAATGAATCTATCTCCAAGTGTTTAATAGACAGTGGAGAGCGTTTAACCTGCTCGAATAAGAAGCAAAAAAAAGGGAAGGAGAGAAGGAGAAGGAGAAGAAGAAGAAGAAAAAGGAAAAATAAGAGAAATTACGCTCGACATTATCGTGAGTCATCGATTCGAGACGAACGGTTCTCGACAACCACGCCTCCTTAATTTATTCAACCGGACACGGGGGAATGCAACTTTCTTGGCGTTCGTTAAGTCCGTTTAAATCGAATATGATAATTTTATGCGAATGCTTCGCGTAACGCTGGTAGCTGGTAGCTCCAAATATTTCGTCTCTTTTGCTCTTTCGATCGAAAGAGAGAGGGAAGGAAAGAAGAAAGAGGAGACGATACTTTTGCATTGTCGCTTTCTAATCGCGAATGTGCGAATTACGCTTTGTGGAAGCGTTTTTTTTTTTTTTTTTTTTTTTTGTAGAAGAAAAAGGGCACGGGACACCAGCTCTACAGTGGATATTAATAAGCGCGGTTATGAAATGCGCGACGATTATTTCGTTACGTAAAAACATGTCCTCCTGTCGCATAATACTTCCTCTCGTGACGATCGTTTCGTTGGAGAGCAGGTAAACAGATTTTGCGTGCGCTGTAAGAAAGATTACAGCGTTTTAGTTATTAAGCGTTAAAAAACGTGATATATTAAATATATAAAATTATTTTCCAATAATTATTCTCTTTTTTTGACAATTTTCACAATTTCTCGTTCCATTTTACGTTAAACGTTTGTTATTAAATATTTTTCGTTTTATACTCATCTTTCAAGGATTTTAACAATTGAAAATTTCAAGGATTAGAACAATCGAAATAATGGTTTTCTTTTTATCGAGAACGTGAAAATATTTTTGATTATTAATATCGCAATTTATTGGGAAATAATAATAATTTAAATATACTTATCTCCGTGACGTAGCAACCATTTATATGTAAAATGAATGGATATTACAGGTAGTTGTAGTATTAAAAACACCTATTAATCACCCATTTTAATCACCTTTTATCCTCCGTCGTAACCATGGTAATCTGAAACAAAAGGAAGAATGAAATAATCGCGCGTATTGGATCGAATTAAGTCGTATCAACCCATGCGGCGATAACGAGAGGCAAAATTATTGATCTGTGCCGGGAAAAAAAAGAAAAAGAAAAAAGGAATCGCGTCATACGGGTCATCTTCGATCACGTTATCATATTCGAGCACGACAATCGGGGAATAGAAGGGTGAATAAATAATCTAAAAAAAAGAAAGAAAGAACAAACGAAAGAATAAAAGAAAAAAAAAAAAAAAGGAGAAAAACCGGTTTTGCTATCTTTTTCAAAGTGATCGTAATTATATCGTAAATTTAACAACGAGTGGAGCAGCATCGACTCTCCGTTTATGGTTCCGGTTCGTTAAAACTTTCCTCGAAATGAATTCCGAGCGAACGATGCTCACGTAACGATCAAAAAACGATTGTACTCCCTGTTTCGCGATTTCTCGTAATCTTTTAATCTTGAACTTTCACTTCTCTTTTTCTCTCTCTCTCTCTCTCTCTATTTCTTCTCTTTTCTTTTTTCAATCCCCGATTTTTAGATTTCCTGCCTCGAAACGGGAACTCGTGCTGGGAAAAAAAAAATGTCCGGGCATCATCGGAAATGTAATTCATCGGGCTGATAATTGAACGAGATACGAGTTGTAAAGGAAACACGAGGGCGGAAGAAAAAGTGGACAATCGTGATATACGATTTTGTGCTTTCGAGTCGAGAGATTACTTTTTCCAGCCGTTTTGCGCCAGATTGGCCGCGAAAAAGTTAGTTTTCATTTTTTGGTATCGCGGTTGAGCGTGGAAAAGTTAGGTTATGTTTCATTTTCGCATCGCGGTTGAGCGTGGAAAAGTTAGGTTATGTTTCGTATCATTTCGATTGAACTTGAAAAAGTTAGGTTATGTTTTAGATAAACGAGTTAGAAAATTACGCGATTGAGCACGAAAAAGTTAGATTATACTTCGGATAAATCGAAAGGAATGAGAATAATTAGAAATGTGAAAATCACGCGATCGAGCGCGAAAAAGTTAGGTTCTGCTTCGGATAAATGGAAAGGAATGGGTTAGAAATGTGAAAATCACGCGAACAGGCGCGAAAAAGTTAGGTTATGGTTCGGATAAATGGAAAGGAACGAGTTAGAAAATCACGCGATTGAGCGCGAAAAAGTTAGGTTATGCTTCGGACAAATCGAAAGGAACGAGTTAGAAATGTGAAAATCACGCGATTGAGCGCGAAAAAGTTAGATCATGCATCGGATAAATCAAAAGGAATGAGAATAATTAGAAATGTGAAAGTTATTCTTTATAAAGTTAGAGATTTAAATGATTTAACTCTAATAACCTCGTTTCGTTTAAATATCACGTTATGGATAGAATTTCAATAATCTGATATATTAGAAACTTTATTTCGATTTTGTTTGAATTATTGAAATATGAAAAAAGGATCGTAATAAAAATATTCGTGAGGAATATCAAGATATTCTTCGCGTGTACACAATGGACTGGCGGTTGACAACAGGTTAAAATAATTATTACGATTAACTACGTTCTTTTTTCTCTCTCTCTCTCTCT